GCTTTCCTTAAATTCAGAGGCAGAAAAGAACGTCAAGGTCACAACTGGTTCAGGCTCATACTGAGGATTCAAAGTTGGATAGGATGAAACCCACCAAGCATATAGAAAGCTTAGATTTTGTTGGTTGAGAGCCAAGGATAAAGCATGTTTACTTGGGAACAGAATTCTACCTCATAAGAGAGAATTTTTCTGAAGGATACAATGTCATAATTGAATACTGGATATATCCAATGATTGTAGTTTGATAAGACCTTGATTCTAAGCCTCATTGTTTCCATTATGCTGGAAATAATGTCCTATTAGGTTCTGTTAGTATGCCTACATTTATCCTTGATGTTGATTTACTGTCACTTAACTCTCGGATTGACATTGGATTTTGTTTTTGGAACTGCTTGCTATTTGCTTCTTGCTTGAACCTTGTACTGGTTGCCAACTTTGTTGCTGACTATGATAACTCAACCAAGTTACTACTCATCCATACCCTTGCCAGGACAAAGCATTAAAGATAAAATGATTAACACTGTAGAATGAAAAATCTTGCTGGAAAATCAGGAATGGTTTCTAATTTTGCAGAGTTAAGTGCACATCAACAGGCCTATGGATCTAATAAACCCTGTAAAGACACTCAGAAGCATTTTGGAGTTGGATGGCCTAGAAATTAGATAGCTGGGTAGATAAACAGACAGCAGTTTATAAAATGGGGATGGGGATAGTAAAAATGTGGTAATCTTCCAGTAATTTGTATTGTGGTTGGGAATGCAAATGATTTCTGCCAGTGCACTTTATCCTAAATAAGTCCATTATAGCACAAACATTAGCTACAAATGAACTTTGGCTGTCACTGGATTTCACATATAAAAATGCATGAAGGAGAATCGGGACAGAGAGTACACTTCTTTTTTTTTCCAATTAAGATCCAGGGAGATTTTTCTTTTTTTCTCCCTGTATCACAAGGCTCTTTGCAGAAAGGCTGGTTCTCCCATGACTCCTAGACTGCCCAGTGATACCAGTAGTTATCCCCAAAAATACTGTAGAAGTTTATTTGCAAAGAACATCCTTTACTCTCTAATCAATGTGACAACTTTTTCCCATTAGACTGGAAATCTGTCAGAACAAATGCTTTCTGCTCATCCTAAATTGGGACCAGTACTTTAAACTTGTTTATAAATTATTTGGCATCAAGGGTGACTACTGAACAGGTCATGCTTGCTGATGACACTTAATTACGGTATTTAGAAAACCTAACACAAAATAGAACAGCAAAGAGTACTAAGAAGATCTGTAAAAACAGGGGGACTGAAATGAAAATGGTAAATGCAGTTCAACAAAGAAACAAATAAAATTATTTATATTGGAGCAAAATAAAAATTCTAACATCAGTTGTGGTGGTGATTTTTTTAAAACCCTTGATTTAGTGTAAAAGCTACAATAAAAAGGTAAGAACTATGCTGAGGTTGATTGGGACAAAAAAAATATGTTGCTTTTATAAAATCTGTGCTATGATCTTACTTGGAATGCTGTGTGCAGTTATGACCCTTACACAAAACTGATGGAACTGAAAAATAATGATAGGATTATTTCCCTCTTATAATACTAGAATGAGAGGTTATTAAATTATGCTAAATAATGAGAAGTACAAGACAAACAAATTAAAATCCTTTCTCACACAGTGTTCAGGTAAATTGAAATTTGCTATTGCAAGATTAGGAGAATCCTAATTTATTTCTGAAGGTATCTTCCTCTCAAAAGAGCCTAGAGCAAAATAAAAACAAATATATATAAATCAGTGGTCCTTAAATTTAAAAAAAATATATTTATCACAGGAAATCAGTGACAGGTTTTGGACTAGTATATGGGTGAATAGTTAGATTTTCAGTTGTTCCTTTGAAAAAAAGACAGCATTTCAATCAGCTGAAGCTCCAATCAGGATGATGCAAAAGATGCAGTGATGGCAGCCGCTTTGCAAACTTTAAAAGGAGGATAGTCAAATTCATGAAATATAAAGCTACTACTAATTAGTGATTATGATGGCTATAAATTAGTGCACTTTCAGATTGTTCAATCCCTTTAATTAATCCTATCCTTGGAGGTTGGGAGAAAAGAGAATAAAGGGGATGTGAATTCCTTCTGGAATCCATCTGGATGAAAAATCTTTCAAAGTTTAAATGTTTGAAAGTTTCTTTCTTCTTTCCCTTTTAAAACATTCCTCTGAGAGCTCTCCTTCTTTATTTCTTTTGAAGGAATTAATACCTGATTGGACAGAATAACAAAATTAGAAGGGATCTTGGAGGTCTTCTAGTCCAACCCCCAACTCAAGCAAGAACTCCTATATCATTTCAGACAAAGGTTGTCCAATCTCTTATTAAAAATCTCCTCTGATGAAGCACCCCCAACTTCTGAAGGCAAGCCATTCAATCACCATACACCATTGCATGATGAGATGATTATCCTCTTAAAGGAGACATCAACAGGCCAGAGAGTCCCTGTATTCTTCTCCAAGAGGATTACATTTAACCTCCAAAAATAAACTGTCTTGTCATTCTCAATTTTTTTTTATTTAATATGCATTTAATGCTTGTGCAAGAGAAAGGGTGGATGTCTTTTTTTTTTGCAAATAATACTCTCAGAAAAACAAAGCAAACAAGCAGCTCAACTTTATTACAGTATGCATTACTTCCAATGTCAGAGACAGTATGCCTATCCTCTAAAAATCATTTGTTCTTGAACACTACTGGAAGATACTGTGGCCTTGTGACCTGTTTGCAGACTTCTGCTTGCTAACTATGGAAGTTAAATGCTGAATTGCAGGCCACTGGCCTTATGTTCCAAGTTGAGCATAATGATGAAAAATGTACTGAATGGCAACTAATCTACTATAATTGGCCTTGAGCCCATCTCCAAAGTAAAGTACTTTTCACACCCAATTTCTCCTCCACATGAAATATGGCATAAAGGTATCATCCTGGTTCTTGAATCAACCAAATGCAACTGAATGTTTAAAGTATCAGATTTTTTTTACCAGAATAGTTTTATGAGCAAACTGCAGTATTAATCCCTAAGTCTTATTCCTTAGATTCCTTACCATGTACTGTATTTAACAGAAATCTAAAACACACACACACACACACACACACACACACACCAGATAGAACTTACACCAGATATGCAAAACACAAAGAGTTTGTAGAGCATTTTGCTGGACAACAAAGTTCAATTAAAAGTTTCTTCCAAAATCTTTTAAAAAACAGAAGACAGAACCCAATTTATTTCCAATTCCTTTAAAACAGGGGTGTCAAACTGCCAGCCCGCGGGCCGGATGTGTCATACTGAAACCGCGCCCACCCCGGCAACACATCACATGATGTTGCGAGTTTGACACCCCTGCTTTAAAATTGTTGTTATATGTAATTTGAATATCTTGTGTCCTTTAAAAATATTTTCAACATAAGGAATACCTGGCTCAGAAGTGAACAATTTGCACTGACATCATAATTTATTTAGAAGGATCACTGAAATTAAGATAATGGTGATCTTTCAGAGATCTGATATGTATATGGTTAAAATAGTAATACATCCATTGATTTCTAGCAGACTAGTTCTGGTGTTGTTGTTTTTTATTATTCTTTAGAAGCCTGAACAATACTTTTGTTCTTTGATGGATACCTGTCAACTGCAAGATGATTAGATCCTTCTTGTTCACTTTAGAAGGAAGATCAGGAAGCATAAACTAACAGCAGGACAATGGCATCCTGCTCACCAGTTATTCTATGCAAGCATAACATGCAACAGGAAAAACTAATTACATCTGAAGGGTTTGCTCAAAGTAACACTGAGAATTGTCAACAATGATTATTTCTGAGGTCTATTTCTTCATTGCACGGACTTCAGCAAAGAATGCTAGCATTTCCTGTGGAAACTTTTTTTGGGCCAGTAACATCCCACCAATTTTGCTTTTTTTTACGTTTTTAACAACATAAATAGATACACCGTTGGCATTCTGACAATAACCGCAATGAAATGTTTGCAGAATTCACCACCTTGCTGACTTGTTTCAGAAAAGCATCAGGAGACAAGGAAACTAAAAAAAAAAAAAAAAGAAGAAGAAGAAAGGAGGGGGGGGGGGTGTTACAAGATCAGAAGAGGCAAGTCAGAACCGAGAGAGCCTCTTAACCGCCCATAAAAGTGGCTTGCAAATCTCCGAATCAAATTGTAAATGGGACTTTCAAGTCTGTTGCCTTTTTTTTTTTTTTTTTAATCCTCATTGATCTCCTTCGCTCGCTCGCATGCTTTCCTCTCTCTCCATTTCTCATCCTCAGTACTGCACTGTATACGTTGCTGGTTTCTGGACGTTGTTTGATAGCCACCCATGCAAAGTACCGTAGTGCTTGTCCAAGAACCTTTTTTTTTTTTTTTTTCCCGTAGATAAGCTGTGATCTTTCCGTAGTTGGCTGTAGGAACACCTCTCTCTCACTCCGTCTCTCTCTCTCTGGCGCGCACACACACACACACACACACACACACACACACACACACACACACGTTTAAGAGGTTTCCCTGCTACTATAGGCAGCGTTTGTCCCATTTTTGATATCCAGACCTGCCCGCTTGGCAAGAAACTGCCCCTTGAACAGAAAGCTTGACGGAAAGGAAAAAAGGTAGGCTACAAAAGAGGAAGCCAAACCGCGCAGAGTCGCGAGCAACAAGAGGGACCAGCGGCTGCTGGGAGCTGTTGCTGCCGGCGTGAGCTTCCCCTTCAAAGAGCCCCGCAGCTGCGGCGTTACTATAGAGACACCACCGCCAAACCTTTTTCCCGGTAGGGCAGCCCTCGAGACCGGGCAGGGAGTCCCAGCCGAGCTCGGCGCCTTCTCCGCCTCCCCCTCATTCCCCCCCCCCAAAAAATCCAGGCAGCCGAAACGAGAGGAGAGTCCCCACAGCAAACTTGTGGCAGCCTTTCCCCGCGCCCCCTCGCCTTCCCTCAGGTGGAACTTGGTCGCACTCACCCTGCCAAGGCTCTCCGCTCCTCCGCCACCTTCGGGGGATTCCTCGCCGCGGCTCGACAGGCTCTGGCTTCCTGCTGCTGCTGCTGCTGCTGCTGCTGCTGCTGCTGCTGCCGCCGCCGCCGCCGCCGCGGCTGCTGCCGTCTGGCTCCAGCAGAACGCGGCACGGGAGGGCTTGGGGACGCGAGCGCCGGCTTCTCGGCTGCTTGCGTCACAATAAAGCCGAGGCCATTCCCCACGCCGGGAATTCGGGGGGCTGCCGAGAAGGGGGGGCTGCCACGTGACTTCAAAGGGAGGCCCTGAGGGAAAAGGAAGAAGAGCAGGCGGAGAGGGGACGGCGGTGGTCAAGCAGAGGTGGCTCGCTCCTGCTCCTCTCCGAGCTGAGGCTGAACGGCTGGAGCTTCCCCACCCACCTAGCTCCTGATGCTGAATAGCCCCTTTCAAGCCCCCCCCCCCCTCCGGACGCTCCTCACCGACCACGCATTCCAGTCTCCCCTACTCTACTCGTTCGCCTCACTCTCACTTCTTTTCGCTCTTCTCCCCCTTCGCCACCCTGCCTCTCATTTTTTTCTCCTCGCCACAGGTCCTGTGATGCCTCTGCTCTCCCCTTTCCTCTTCTTCCCTTCTACCTTTCCTCGCCTTTCCTTTAGCGAGCGTTCCTTGGCTCGCCCGCCTTCCTCGCTGCCGCCTCCCGGCTTCGTTTCTCGCCCAGTCCCAGTTCTTCCTGCCACATTTTGCCTGTCCTCCCATCTGGCATCTCACCTCCTCCTCCTTTCTCCCTGGCTTCTCTTCCTCATCCTCTCCAGCTTTAGTGTTTGTGTATGTGGGTGTGCGTGTATACTTTCGTAGACGTTTTTCAAAATATTCTCCTGTTTTTCAGAGCTGCTTCAGCCTCCACCCATCCTGAACAATGGTAGTCCCAGCGGCTTTGCATCACTGAGAACCTAAAGGGTTAATAAACTTTTATACAGAACAAAATGTGTTTTCTGTGCCAATTCAGATGATAAAAGGAGTTTATTTTCAGGCTCGATTAAGAGTAGATGAAAATGATACTGTGTTGTTTGTTTCTAAATAAATATTGACTTTTTTGTTTATTAATACAATTTCTCTGGAACATCTCTTGTTGCTTTAATGCAGTCATTTAAAGTGAGGGTGGACAGCATAAATATATGCAGATAAATCATCTCTCCTCATTATAGTTAATAATAAACTAACTTTGGGATCCCTCTTCAGAGGGATAGCATGGAAATGATCCTGGTAAGTGTGCTGTACTTTATTGTGAAAATACTTGCTGTTAAGGCCCATGTGATCTGAACAGATGATGGACCATAAAAAATAAACTCCCAGAAGAAAGAAAGAATAGTAAAAGAAGGAAAGACAATAGATGATAAAATGGATTGAAAAGATTGTAGGATTGTCCTTAGAAAAGCTACACATTTTTGCCAAAGGCATTTAGTCACCAGGAATTAGCTGGTGCCAGATCTGTTTCAACTAACTAGAAGAACAACTTTTTTTTTTTTCTTTAACTCTAATCTGCATGAGTTCAGTTCTAAGCATAGCCCAGTTAATGGGCTGAAAATAAAATGTAGATCACGGGAATGGCAGTTGTGTCACCTTAATATTGCTGAGCAACTGTATCCAGCAGCCTCAGCTACAATGATCAATAATGAAGGAGGCTAAGGACTGTGGTTCAGGTGTATCTGATGGGGCTAGGTTTTCATCTCAGATTGAGCTCATCTGTCCACTTACTTTGCTTTTGTATGGTGTTTCTAAATAGTATTGTGTTTTTGCAAAATGTAGGGAGTCAGTAGAAACAGATCATTTGATAGTCTTCAAGAAAGAGAGAGAGAGAGAAAGAAAAAGAAAGAAAGAGAGAGAGAGAGAAATATACCAATGTATCACAGATGAAAATAGCAACAAAAAAAGCAAGAAGAATATGTTATTCTATGCATTAGTTCCTGTATTCCTTAGCTTTAACAGTCTTTTCCTATGCAGGGATAGAAGGAATCAGCAGGCAAGAGAAACAGGCAGTTCAATTATAAGGGGCGCTTAAATTCCCAGAGAGGGTTAGAACTCCAGTTCTGTTGACATTAGATGCAGAATAAAAAATGAGTAAAGTCTCTGAGCGCTATGCATGCTACGTATGCTATGCATGCTAGGTATTAGGGAATCTAAACCGGTCTAAAGATTATAATTTGTCAGTTCCCTCTGGTATAAAGTATATACTGTACATGCACATTGTATTGTTCCGTCTATTAGTGAGACAATAGGAAATGTAAGTAATTTTCCTCTTCTTGGCTCCATTTGGTTCTCAAAGAAAATAATCCATCCACTTCACAAAACAAGAAAAACAGTGATAGGAAAGAGAGAATTTTTACAACTTTACTTTGCATTAATAAATTACATGGCACTTTGGAAAAATAATGAATTTTGGAAAAGTATGAGGCATGAAAACGATCCATATAGTAAAACATCATCTCTCTCACCACAGTGTAAAATAATCCCCCTCCAATTAAAAAATATATAAAGCTCCATTTGGCAGGCCCTCATCGGTGGGCCTTTTCTGCTGTGATGCCTATCCTGTGGAATCTTCTCCTCCTCAAGGTGTGGTTGGCTTTGTTGCTGTTGAGCTTTTGGAAGTTCCTCAACACTTGGTTAAGCCAGCAGAAACCCCAGGGGATGTGTGAACTAGTGAGGTGGCTCCACTTTATTTAACATCCCTTCATCTATTATTCAATGTTTTAGTTTGGTTTTCATCCTTCATTTACTATTTATTAACTCTTTTAGCTCTCTTGTATGCTGCCCAGAGTCCCTTGTTTATGAGATGGGTGGCTATATAAATTGGTTTAATAAATCAATAAAAAAGAATAAACAGCAACAGCTCAGGGACCATTACCCTTAAAAAACCCACCCAAATAAAGATTTTCCAGGCTTGCTAACTGCCAGTAACAAAAGGCACAGGTGTACTCTTAGAGACAAGGTGTCCAAATATATTGGGGCTATCATAGAGGTCTATCTTTTGAAGGACGGAATGTGACCACCCTCTTTTGAGAGGATCTGACAGGATGGATCAATATAAGCCAGGGATCAGTCCCCAACCCCCAGGCTGTGGCCTGAGACTGGGCCACTGCCTATTCGCAAGCGGCCACAGGGCAGTACACACATGCAAGCACATTTCGACTCACATGAGTAGCAGGCTGGCATGCATACACATGCACGCACAACTCACAGTTGAGTTGCATGTGCATGTGCGTGCATGCCGACCCGCTGCTCTCATGAGTCAAGCTGCACACACATCAGCCCACTGCTCGTGCAGCTTGGTTTCCCTCTTCCCCCCTCCCAGCTGAGCCACCGAACCACAAAAGTTTTGACCACTGATATAAGGAAGTGTGGTGGCACAGTGGTTAGAATGCAGTATTACAGGCTAACTCTGCTCATAGCCTAGAGTTTGATTCTGATTGACTCAAGGTTGACTCAGCCTTCCACCCAGATTGTTGGGGGGTAATATGCTGATGTTGTAAACTGCTCAGAGAGTGCTGTAAAGCACTATGGAGCAGTATATAGTAGTAAGTGCTATTGCTAAGTGCTATGGGCATAATCATTTTGGAGAAGGTGGCCTTAATGCAACCCTATTTAGAGTAGACTTGTTGAAAACCATGGGATTTCAATAGACCGTAAGTTTGATTTTATCTAAATTTCACCATCATTATTTTATAATATTTTCCTGAGCTATTCTAGCCAGTTTATTTATTTGTTGGATTTATAACCTATACCTCTCAAATTAAAAAAAAATAATAAGAAAAAAGTAAAATACAAAACCAAATTAAACCTTCTTTAATATCTAATTAAAGAACAAGAATTTTAAAAATGGAACTATTCAAAATGCTCAACTGGAATTACATACCAAAATAATTATTTTAAAAACTCACAGAGAATAATTTTCTAAAATGACTTTTTCTGCAGTTTGGGAATAAGATAGGAAAAGGTGCAAAGAATAGACTAATGTAGTATAATCTTTGAAAATATTTTGAAATTCATTAAAAAACAGCTGGGTTTTCAGATTTAAAACCGTAGATATATTTGTCCAATAGCATTAGTATCAGAACATATGGCTATGTTTAAACAACTTTCTTCTGGGCATTATCACAGGTGAAATCTAACATATATGGACAATATTTGTTGACAAAAACTGTGCAGATAAAGATCTTGCAAAGCTCAATTTGAGGAAGTGATTCCAGAAATACAGGGGCATAACCTAGTCCTATAACATATGAATTGATAATAACATGATTACTTTTGTTGCATGCCAAATGTTTTTTATTTCAAAAACCACAAGTAAATTCATATACAGAGCTTATTTTGGGGCATGCTTAAGCCTAAATGTTTCTTAGTATAGAAATTAAAATTTTGGCTTTTTAAACTATTTTCATATGGGCATGCAATAAATGATTAAGGGAAATCAGCAATGCCTATTTTGGTGTTATATTACACTATCTTAAGATAAATAACTGTAAGTCGTACCATGTAGATTTGTACCTTTCTTTTGCACTAAATATGCAACTACAAACATATTGACCATTATTAGGTGAATATGATGTAATTAGTAAAAATAATTATTACTTTCTATCTCTAATGATTTTGCATCAGCTGATCATGAGAAAATGTATGGCCAGAGTGTTTCTACAGTAATAGCCATAATCAGTGGTGGGATTCAGCACCACTTCAGCAGAACCGGCAACTAATTTTTTGTTGTCCAGGCTCAGAATGGACTTCTGGAAGCGGCATCCACACGGAGAATCAGTTGTTCACATATTTGAATCCCACCACTGGCCATAATGATCATTATTTGCCTCCCCTGCCCCTACCGAATATAAAAAAACCCCATCTTTTCACTGCATCTATTGTTTTTGTCCACTGGATCCAATAAAATGGTAAACAAGAATCTGTAGAAAATCTTTACAGAACCTGTATAATATAAGTATCGCAAATAAATGAAAAGGGGGGAAAGTAGATATGAAAAACATATGATCATTCTCTGCCTTTTTACTCAGCTTTGGTGCAAAACATGATATCAGAAACCCTTACAGAAGAAGCACTAATATAAAGGATATCTACTGCATGCAAATATTGACAATAAC